CACTTTAATTCAGTGATTTTACTATCCATTGATGTTTCTTGCCCGAGTTATTACTAGGACAGTTGCCGAATGACGACTTTCTGATTCCATTATTCCTTTTCCTTTTAGTATTTGGCATTTTATTCCAAGGAAGAGCTGTCTCTTCTTCCCGTTTATTTATTCATTTATTTATTTATACCAGTGGACACTCAAGGACTCCTCTATTTTATTTGATGGGTTATAATCCTTTATCATCAGGATTTATTTTGACATCATATTGTCTCAGATTTGGCCAGTGGGAGCCCCTGTAAACTGGCTTTTGTGTCCTCTCGTTTCTTTGAGCACAAGATGTTTCAGGCTTCTCTCATTCTTTCTGCAGCCCAGCTCTGGAATCAACCATTTTCTCAAAGGGGCACTAGTTGCTTATAATGGAGAACAGTATTTAGAAATCAAGATCCAAGAGCTAGATAATCTTATTGCTCTGGGATATCTCTGCTTTCAGGTCCTTGAAATGGGTAGACCAAGGAAATCTATGTTTGTGTATATATATATATGTATATATATATACATGGACAGAGACACACATTGCCATTTATATTTATTTTTGTATCTGTTTCCATACGTTGAAAAACAGGAATTTATATGAATACCTCCAGTTCTTCAAAACTACAGAGTTCATTTGAGACTTTCTCTGTCCTTGTTTTTTATCTCTCTTCTCCAACAGTGAGAAATCTGACTCTCTTTATCTTCAACATATTTATTTACCCAATTCCCTTGTGTGTAGCCAATCTCTGGACCTCGTTGTCCACGGTCTCCCACAGATGCCCTTCTTGTGTGGACTCTGACCCTGTAGGGCCGCCATCCTGCACAGATAACCTCTGTGTACTGCATGTGGGCTGCCTTCCTATGCTGTCCTCCATCTTCCTCCGTATCAGTCATGGCTGCAGGAAGGAAGGTCTAGTTTTTAAACACTGGCCAAATCATCCAGGTTTTTTGTTTTGTTTTGTTTTTTTAAAAACAGTTTGTTTTAAATCAGAACTTGATTGGTAGGCTGGTAGAACCTCTAGTCTAGATAATACGAAGGAGATGTTGGGAACTGGTGACCAGAGATGAACATGGTCTTTTAATAGGGGCTTTAGTGAGAACCTTATCATTTTAGGAGGGAAGAGATGAGCATGCATACACCTATGTGGCCTTCTACATTCCCCATCAGGCTAAGCAAAATAGAGTATGGCTTTTGGCCCTTTTGGTAACTTTCCACCGAGCCTAAGTTTGTTTTTGTTTTTGTTTTCTCTAATTCTCACTTCTTACTGCTTTTTATGCTCTTTAGAAGCCACTCTATGACACCAATAATCTTGTCCTTGCTGGAGTTCAGAATATAAATTCCTCAGGGAAAAGGAAGATTAGGACGAAGAAACATTGTTAGAGATGCAGTCCGATTGAAAAAAGAAGTGTGGAAATGACAGATGAGTGGAGTACCAGGTTACTCAACTGGCAGGCTTTTGCCAATCTTTTCATGTTGTCGATCAAGTTAGATCAGATCATCATATCAAGGAGAGATGAAAAGCCTCTTTCTCTGAAGCAGAACCTTTTCCCTCCCTCTCCATTCTTTTGGAGGGAGAGGATGGCAGGAGGTATGTCACTGTGAGGTAATGTCTGGGTGAGGCAGGCAGGCCCCATGGGTCCTCTTTGCATTTCTTAAGAATTCAGAGAATGACTGTCTCCCATTTGATTGGGGAATGGCTATAGAAGGAAGATTGGGATGCATAGGTAGGGTTTACTTACCATGGAGTGACATGGTTAGAAGTTAGGTGATAACTACTGGAAGTTTCTGAAAAATCAGAGGTCCTTCTCACGCACAGACATAATGGACATCAGACCCTTGTCCCTTAGCCATACTTGCCTGGTCAGCATTTTCTCTTCGTCCACATCCTTCTTCCTGTCCTCATGTTTGTTTATTTTAATTTCGGGGTTTTTGGGGGTTGTTTTTCACTTTTCTTTCTTTGGCTTTCATATATATCCAGTACAGGGAATTAGGAAGCGGAGATAGTGGGTGGGTGAGAAGAAATAGAGAAGAGGAACATTTTTAAATGCTGCCCTTTAATGTGGTGGAAATTCATGTTGACTTCATAGTCTGAATAAGCATATGTAAATAATTTGTAAATCATATGAAAATAAACTTGTGGCCTTCCAGGATTTTTTTTCACACACTTGGATGTGCCTCTTGGGAAAACCACTTTAGCGAAGGGTGATATGGTTATGGCGGTATGTAAACAGGGGTTGATACTTACCATAACCATTCGACTCAAGTGTCCTTTTGTTGATGTTGCGCATCACTGGAAAGTTTTCTCTTTCCCTGGTTACTTCCTTCAGAGGCACGTATATTTTATACTTCGGTCTTCTTTTGGCAGTAGTCCAGGGTATCAAATTGCTGCTCTGTTTTCAGTGGGCTCCATGTTTAATCCCTCCGTCTTTTGCCTTCATTCCAAATTCAGGAATTAGTCTCCTACACGATGCTCATATTTAAGCTGTTCTTGCAGACCTAGGCTTTGTGTGCTGTTAACGCTGCCATTGTTATTTCTTAACATGAAATTTAAAGATCAGCTCTGGTATTTCTGCAGATGAGTTTTAAATCTATATAACCTTATGCTGACAGTTTTTTCTTTTTGCTTAATGTTGTCCATAGAATCCTATGGTGCCACGCACTGTATCCACACCAACGGGGTGTTTCTTGACCAGCTCATGCCCTGTCATCCACAGCATCCCACACACAATTTCCCAGGCATGGGTAACTCTGTTTTCATTTTTCACCCTTCCTATTGGTCTAAGGTTCTGTAAAAGTAGCAGCAACATGTGTTGCAGAGTCAGTGTAGGGGGTGGGGAATATTGATGAATTTATTCAAGTTCCATTCTTTGAACTTAATGTTACTTATGGAAATTCAGTGTGTTATTACAACAGCCAGATCTGCAGACAGCAATATGGAGGGTGAGAAAATAATTCAATTTAGGGAGAAATGATTATTTCAACACTGAACCAGATATATATGGGACAACAACATTGTGACTAAGAACATGAGTTTTAGAGTTGGGACAGCCTTGGTTTCAATTCTGGGGTGTGCTATTTATTTTTTTTTAAGTTTTTATTTAAATTCCAGTTAGTTAACATACAGTGTAATATGTGTTTCAGGTGTTACAGTATACGGATTCGACACTTCCAAGCAACACCTGTGCTCATCACAACTAGTACCCTCCTTAATCCCTCCCCATCCTTCACTGTGTAGAAGTTTTTTATTTTGATGTAGTCCCAATAATTCATTTTTGCTTTTGTTTCCCTTGCCTCAGGAGACATACCTAGAAAGAAGTTGCTATGGCCGATGTCAAAGAAGTTACTGCCTGTGTTCTCTTCCAGGATGATTTTTATGGTTTCAGGTCTCACGTTTAGGTCTTTAATCCATTTTGAATTTATTTTCATGTCTGATGGAAGAAAGTCTAGTTTCATTCTTTCACATGTGGCTGTCCAGTTTTCTCAGTACCATTTGTTAAAGAGGCTGTCTTTTTCCATTGGATATCCTTTCCTGCTTTGTCCAAGATAAGTTGCCCATAGAATTGTGGGTGCATTTCTGGGCTTTCTGTTCTGTCCTACTCATCTGTGTTTCTATTTTTTGTGCCAATACCAGTACCACCCTGTTTTGATGACTACAGCTTTGTCATGTAACTTTGAAGCTGGGAATTGTGATGCCTCCAGCTTTGCTGTGCTTTTTCAAGGTTGCTTTGGCTATTCTGGGTCTTTTGTGGTTCAGTACAAATTTTAGAATTATTTATTCTAGCTCTGCAAAAATGCTGTTGGGATTTTGATAGGGATTGTATTAAATGTGTAGATGGCTTTGGGTAATATAGACATTTTAACAATATTTGTTCTTCCAGTCTATGAGCATGGAATGTCTTTCCATTTCTTTGTGTCCTCTTCAATTTCTATCATAAGTGCTCTATAGTTTTCAGAGTACGGATCTTTTAGCTCTTTGATTAGGCTTATTCCTGGGTATCTTACTCTTTTTGTTGTAATTGTAAATGGGATTGGTTCCTTAGTTTCTCTTTATGCTGTTTCATTTTTGGTGTATAAAAATGCAATGCATTTCTGTATGTTGATTTTGTCCTGAGACTTTACTGAATTTATCAATTCTAGCAGGTTTTTGGTGGAGTCTTTTGTGTTTTCTATGTATAGTATCATGTCATTTGCAAATAGGAAAGTTTTACTTCTTCCTTGCCAATTTGGATGCATTTTATTTCTTTCTGTTGTGTGACTGCTGTGGCTAGGACTTCCATTACTGTGTTGAATAAAAGTGGTGAAAGTGGACATCCTTGTCTTGTTCCTGATCTTAGGAGAAAAGCTCTCCGTTTTTTTTCCCTTTGAAAATGATGTTAGTTGTGGGTTTTTTCATATATGACCTTTATTATGTTGAGGTGTATTCCCCCACTAAGCCTACTTTGTTGAGGGTTTTTATCAAGAGTGGATGTTGTAGGGGCGCCTGGGTGGCTCAGTTGTTAAGTGTCTGCCTTCGGCTTAGGTCATGATCCCAGGGTCCTAGGATTGGGCTCCACATCTGGCTCCCTGCTCAGCGGGATACCTGCTTCTTTTCCATCTCCTACTCCCCCTGCTTGTGTTACCTCTCTCACTGTGTCTCTCTGTCAAATACATAAAATCTTTTAAAAAAAAAGGAAGTGGATGTTGTACTTTGTTAGTGTAATTTTGGACAAGTTACTCAATTTTTCTAGGTTACCCTTTAGTTTTTATATCTACTCTAAAAATGAGATATAATATTATCTACTTCAGGACTTGCTTTAAGGAATGAATTAAATACTATATATGAAACACTTACACCATGGGAGTGGGCACTTACCAAGCACTCATTATTTGTTAATGATGTTAGCCTCCTTTTATGAATATCACATTGATCCTGAGTTCTAGACTGCATTTCCTTGAACCCCTGTTCCTGACATTTAACTTACGTCCTTTCTGTCAGGTTTGCAACTGTGAGATATGATCAAGGAGCCAAGAACATTCGGAACCAGTTTATGCACCTGACAAACTACAGTGTGAATAAGAAGAGTGGAGACTATGTCAGGTACCAGCTCCGTCTGAGCCAACATCCGCCTGCGGGTGTGGTGCTTGTGGAAAGTCAGCTCGCTGTCCTACATTTATCTTCATGGAACCTACGGGAAGCTGTCGTCATCTGGCACATTTAGCTCCCGCTTCTCCGTCGCTTGCCCTCCCTGTTAGAGTGTCGCCTTTCTGTACCAAAATATGCCTTCCCACATTTCGTCTTCACTGTCTTTCCTCACTTCACTTAACGGGTGGGAATTTAATAGGCATATGGAACTTTTTAGAAGTCAAGAAATGAGGTTATTTCAGCACTTGGCAAAATGTATCAAAAGCTTTAAAAATATTGGTACCCTTTGACCCAGCATTTCCATTTCTAGGAACTTAAGCTTAAGAAATAACAAGAGATGTGCACACAGTTTCAGAGAGAAGAACGTTCACGACTATACATTGTCAGGTGGAAAAAAACAGATTGCCTGACGCTACTTGCAGTTTAATTTCTTTTTTGAATATATAAGATAACTAAAGCTGTTTATGTTTGCCGAGGGGGAGAAGATAGAAACTAGAAGGATATATACTAAAATGTTAGCAGTGCTTAACTGTGGTGGACGGGATTATGGGCGGGTGACTTCTGTTTTCTTCACTGTGCTTTTATGTATTTGCTACATTTTTCTGAAGTAAATACTTGTATGATTGGGGGGAAAAAAGTTAGGAATAAATTAAATGAAGAAAGAAATGAGGCCATCTCAGAAAAAGATTCGGTGGAAGGGAGTGCCAGCCCAGCTGTGTGGAAATATTCCTTCTGCTCTGTTTTCTTTCATCCTGATAATTTTGCCAGAAAGTGGAAAAATAAAAAAGAAACCCAAACAGTTACTTTCTCCTCAGACTAAAAATAGGTGTCTAGAAGGTCCAAGGAAAGAAAGAAAAGAATCTGGAAGTGATGGCACAGTTGCCAGAGCTCTATAGATTTCATGGAGTGTCCTGTGACCAGTGTTGGGAATGGCTGAAGATACTGTATCCTTCACTCTGGAAGATGAGCAGACGCGCAGCTGGTGGGTGGTGGGGTGGTGGTAGAGAATGAGGGGGCAGCTGTGAGACATGGTCACACATTGCAAGACCCTTCCGGTGGTCATGGCAGTGTACTCCATTTGCTAGTCTGCTGCTCTGGCCGTGGGGTACTTCATCGCTTTCTTGTTGCCTCAGTGCCTTCTCCCTTCAGTGTTACCTCAGAAAGTACCAAAAAAAGACCTGTGTCTACCGCTAAAGAGGAGGGAGCTTGCTTCAGATGCTAATGCGGTTCTGTGCTGGATTAGCTCATTAAAATGCTACATGCTACACTACCGTAAGCTCATTAGCCCACAGACTCAATTCTGGTCTGAAAATGGCATTAGAAGTTGTTCTGTGGGCTCGTGGGACATTTACCTCAAAGACTAGGTTAGTATCCCTGAACGTTTCACTTTATTAATGTATCCACTCTTCCGTTGTTAACATTCTTCCAATACATTTCTTCCACCTTTTCATGATACATTATTGTTTGCTTAAAGAGGAATTTGCTGCCTTCTCCCCACCACCCCAATCAGGGAAGCCATATGCATTTTCATTTCAATGGTAGATAGGGCGTATATATGACAAAAAGGACCAAGAAAACTTGCTGAGTGGAGGCCAGCAAAGGGAATGTTTTCCTAATGATTAAAAGGACAAGTATTTGTAAAAAAGTCTGATCTCTACTGCCAGGCCTATTTGCGTGTGTGATCTTGATCTATTCCTTTGTTTCAGCTGTGATGATCCAGAGGTGGAGGATTATGGGAACAAATGGAGCATGAGTGCCATGCTTAGGTATCTGAAACAGGAAGGCAGAGATACAACTGGTGAGTACCAGGCCTTTTTCCTTGTTGACCTCTCTTCTCTATCTAGCCTGCCCTGGCCTCTCAGCATGAATCACGCTCTTTTAGTTCTGACTGTGTTGCTGAGACATCTGATGGGGTCACTCGTGGTGCTGTCAAGTTTTCCTATCCTGTCCAAGATGGAGAACAGGCTTTCCATGAGCCCTGAAATTCCTTTTCTTATTTCTAGTTTGGAAGGCACACTAAACCCTTAGCCTTTAGTGAGTTAATCCTTCTTGAGTGTTGAAGTGCAAACTGAAATACTTTCTCCATATTGGCCCGGGGTGCAAATTCGTCCATGTTAATCTCTCTCATTCATGTTGCTGAGTTGGAGAATGAGCAGTGTCAATATGAGCTCAGGGCTTGGCGTCAAAATGGACACTATTGCTGAGCCTCGAGCAGGGTGGGAAGTGCGCAAAAGGCTAACGCTCAGTCCACAAAGGGGAGAGTGATAGGAGAAGGCCGAGAAGGGGGGAGTAAGGCTTCTTTCCCATTCCATGTCTATCTTTTGTTGTAGCAGGCCACTCGAGCACAGTCCCCAGCACCTATTTTCTGGCCTGTGTCAACTTATTCATAGATAATGCCTTCTCCAAGAGAAGCACAACCACCACCTAGAGACTTTTTGGAACGAGCACACATGCTTTTATAAATCACATTGTGTTCTGGAATCCAGTCTTTCTACTCCATGCATTATAGTGTTTCTTCCTACTTCTTCTTCTACTGTTCCTACTGCTGCTTTTTCTTCTTCTTCTTTTTTTTTGTAGCATTGATGGCCCATGTGGAAGACCTGATTATTAAGACTATCATCTCTGCTGAACTAGCTATTGCTACAGCCTGTAAAACCTTTGTTCCTCACCGCAGCAGTTGTTTTGGTAAGGAGATTCAAGAAGCTTAATATGTTTTATGAAAAGGGGCTTGGGAAGTTGGGATGGGATCCTGGGGTAGAGAGGCTTAGTGATTCTGTAGGAGTAAGAGGTGTGTGGTGGACTTTTCTTTCTAGGCTCACATAGCACATGAAGGTCCCACTGAGAGGCCAGTGGTGAGCTTACTTGGAGGTCCCCTGAGGACTCACTAGCTTTCTGTATGGGAGGCAGGGGTTGGAACCAAAGTATGGGTCTCTTTGTCAGAGAGCAATCAGAAAAAGCCAGCAATAGGCTGTACAGGAATCCAGCTCTAACAAATATATTCCAGAGCTCTTTGGCAGCCAGACTGGGAACCGTTCCAAGAAGCTCTGGCTGGTACCAGTATGTGCTTTCTCCCAGTTTCCAATGACTCCTCCTTTTTGTTTTAGTCTTCTTTCTAGTGGGTTTCTCCCCCTGGCTCCCTTTCTTCTCCTCCTCATCCTCCTTCCGTCTCCTTTTGTTCCACCCATGACTCCCCAATTGCACAGAGAAGGAGTAAGAAATAGTTCACAACTCCTAGATCAGGAAGCCTGTTGCCTACTGACCCACTGGCTGTGACTGGCACCAAGGGTGCCTGCGCATATTTGCTTTCTGTGTGGATATGAGCTCTTCAGTGATGGCCAGAGCCAGTGTCTGTAAAGTCCACGAGGCTTTCAGCAGGTGGTAGGCTTTGTTAGTAAAACACGCCGGGATCATTGCTGGGGGGGTATTTAAAGTAGTGCAGTAATGAGGATATACAGCATGGCTTGCTTGGGAGGCAGGGTAACAGGAAAGTAAAGAACATGGGCGTTAGAGCCTGAGGGAGTTAATTTAAAAGCCATTCGTTTAAAAGCCATTCTCTTACTAGTTTTCTCATTTTCAGCATGTTACTCCAGTCCTGTTTCCTCAGCTTTAAAATGGCAGTAATGATGGTACCTACCTCCCAAGGGTACTGTGGAGATGAGATGAGATTAGATATGCAAAGCAACTGGCCTAATGTCTGCTTCTCAATTTGTACTCAATAGAAATTATTTCTTTGTTATTTTTATAACTAGAATTAATAATTCTTGACCTCTTTCATGGATTATCATAATAGTCTGTACTTGAGGGACACTAAACAAAGGGAGTTGTTGAGACTCTGAAAAGAACATAGATTAACCAGGACCTGAAATTATATAGGAAAAGAAGAGGTTGTGACATCTTTTCTAGATGTAATTATGTTCATATCTTGTAAAACCCTCACATGGCTCCTTAGGCTTAACTAGTAAATAGAAACTTGACATGACTTCAAGGCTTCTAAGGACCTGACCCCAGCTGCATATTCTAGAAACTTCTAGAATTTTCTAGAAGTTTCTAGAATCTCCTCTTATATTTCATAATCCAACTACACCACTGAGCACTCCATGCCACTGTGCCTTGGTATAAATTCTGCTATCCTGTCTGCCTGGCACACTTCTGTTCATATTCTAAGACTCAGGTTCACCATTGCCTTTTCTAGGAACCCTTGCTTAACACAGTGCCCTGTTGTGTCTCCTTTCTCGCGCTGTTTGATCCTTTGTTCTGTTGTGTTCTTTTCCTATCATATTGTGATGGTTTGCTTACACATGCACTTCCTTGGTAGTCTCTGAGCTTACTCTCTCAATTCTCAGTAACCACTGTGTGTCTCCTTCCCCTCTTACCATCTTTTTGTCAAACAGACCTTTCACTGTCTGCCTAGGCCTGCCAGGTCCTTCCCTTCCCTGTGTCTTTGCACCTGCTTTATCCTGTGTCTGATAAATTTTTCTCATGTTAACTTTACTTATTGATTACCAACATCTTTTCAAGATGAAGTCAAGTGTCAATTCTTTGGTGAATTTTTCCCTAAAATTTCCAGTCACAGTTAGCCCTCCCAGCCCCCAGCTTTCCATTCATAATCTGCAGTGGTACCTGATTGTCATCTGGTACCCATTTATGTGTCTCACTCCCCTCCTGGACTAGAGGCTCCTTGCAGAAAGGAGTGGTGTCTCCCTGGTTTCTGTTCCTGTTGTGCACAATAGCATTGTTTTTGCTCTTAGAGGATGTTCAAGAAGTGTTTGTTGAGTGAATCATTGGTACTTGCTTTTTTGCCCTTTGGTGGCCTGATAGTGGGCTTCTCAGTAGATCTGGTTTGGTAAGGGCCTAGAGCTCTTAGCATTATTCTAAACTGTTTGAGCAAGGGGTGATAGAACATATTTTCAACTTCAGAAACCTCACTAGATTAAAAACTTTTCCACATCTACTTGACTCTTATATGAGGGTAAATTTCCTGCCGTAAAAATCTTTGTTGTAGAAATAATCATAAGCTGTTCTGAAGGTTTCCTCTTCTATTTGTTTTATTACCTGATTGCCTTTTGGAAGCTTGAGAATTTCTGGAACTTAGTGGCAGTAGAGATTCCGATATGAAATAAGTAGTGACTTTCTCTGACTCAGTGAAATACCCCTAAGTCCATTTCATCATCCCTGGGTCCCCCTTCCCCCTCCCTCCTCTTCTTCAGCTTTAATAAAGTGAGTGCATCTGGAGTTTTTTAAGTTGTTGACTGTCTTGGCTTTTGTGGTTCTAATTCCACTTCCTGTCAGCCCTGGGATTTTGTGTGCTTCGTTAACCTCCCTCATCAGATATGATTCTGCATACGTGTGTATATTTATGTGAGTCTCTCTGGCTCCCACTGACTCCTGCAAACTTCCCCTGGGGTTTAAGTTACAAGGAATAAACTGGGTTTGTTTTTTTTTTTTTCTTCCTTTCTTTCTTACTTGTTTTAGAGTAAACAGGAATTGAGAGCTTCCCAGAATAATTTGGCTCACACAGAGCATTGGTGCTTTTAGTGGAAGCCAGTAGTCCAGTGATAGGGTCCACTACATTCTTTCAAGTCGTGGTTTCACACGTACACATTAAGGATCTTGACCAGGAGCAGCCCATTTCTATCTAAGCGTTTCTGTCCTTATGATTTCTTTCCCACTCTACCACCTGTAATGCCTGACGATTGCTTTTGGTACTGCCAGTATTCTGTTCATCTGTTTATCTATGCATTTAACTTATTTTCAGTCCCTGCTGAAAGGCATAGATTGTAAGTGTTGTTCTTCTCAAGCTGGATTTTACATGGATGATATCTACATACACCTGCATTGTATTATTGGTATTTAAATGTAGACCTAGGAACCTTTGCAAACAATCTAAGACTTAGCCGTGTAATGCCTTCTCATAGATTATACATCTGGAAAGGACCCCAGAGAATAATTAGTCCATAAAAAGAAGTTGAGACCTGAGAAACTGGAGCCCTTCCTGAGGTCCCAGAGCTCATGAATGGAAGAGCCCACATGAAGGAGACCCAGCCTGGAGGGCAGGGGCCCACAGGATGGTTGGCTGTCAGGTCATCTTAATCATTGGACTCTTGACTTACAGACTTTTTGATGCCTCTCCCAATAAAATAGATTTTTTGGCACTCTAATTTTTATTGCCTTCAAGGTTGTAAAAATATGGTACCATGTGAAATGTATGTGTAAACAGCAACCCTTTAAGTATGCTTAGGAAATTGGCACTGTGACATAACTGGCAACGAGAATGGCTTTTTTGACCAGTTGGAGAAAACCAGCCAAGAGCAACAGGATGTTAGCTGTCCTTTACAGATGCTGCTGCTGACAGCAGTTTTATCTCTGTGTGAGGACAGCTAAAGTAACAGGCTAGGAGCCTGGTCCTCTCCTGCTTGGGACTCCTCTGAGCCAGCTGCCATGCCACTTGTAGAGGCGATGTGGCTGGCTTTGTTTAGGTTAGAGGTCAATGACCTCTTTGCTCGGGATGATCCACGCTCAGTACACCTCTGTCTGTTGAATGAATGCTACTTCGGCCTTCCATTGCTCTTATCCTAGACCATTTCATAGGGTAAGCTGACATTCTCAGAGGGTGGGTGTCCATAAATATTTGTGGAAGGCACGAAAGTGGGCAGCATACATTCCCCAATTATGTAAACTGCTTGACCATCACCAATAGAAGTCAGCAAACAGTTCATTTTTCTTTCTTTCTTCTTTTCTAACAGTTCACTTTTCGAGAGAGTCTCCTTTCTGCTTTATTCTATGCTCCTCTTCAGGTGGGAAGGGAAGGGAAGTTCACTGTGGAAGGTTCGGGGGAGGAAGTACCTACTGTTGTCAAACACTTTTCATTGGTTATTCCCTTTCGCCCTCTTTTGAGAGTTTTGTTGGTATTTGTTACCGTTGGTTTTATAACAAAGACAAGGGATTCGGAAAGGTTAAATAATCTGTTCCTAGGTCATGCAGTTAACAAATGGCCAAGCCAAGTTTGGGAGCCAGGTCTCTCTGGCTCTTTCTCCACTCACATAAAGACAAGTTCTGATGAGTCTGACCACTTTGGGCACATCCCATATCCTGGATTCTTCTCCTGCCCTCCTGTAACTAGATCTCAGGAAAAATGATATCACTCTCTCTAGCCGATCAGGCCTGAAAAAGGCACTCTTTTGGCTCTCATCAACAGTACTGAGTCCTAGAAACGGCTTTCAAATCTACCTTTACATATGGTAGCCAGATACCATGTCGATGTATTGGACTAGTTAACAAATTGGCTCTGGGCTTTCTCTTTTATTTAGCTCATTTTCCTGTGGGATCTTGATTTGCTTTTTTCCAACTTCTCCTTCTGGACCCCAGATAAAGACTTCCTCCTTAGGTTTTCAACTCAAATCCAAAGCCAAGGTAAAAAGAATTTCTTTATACAATAGCATTTGACTGACAGTGCAGACTGGCTAATGTCAGCACTTTCCAATGACTCAGGATTGCAGCTGCAGCCAGGGCTTTGTTTCTGGAGAGGGTGAGTGGATTGATTCCACAATTAGTGGTGTGACATGTTTAGTAATCTTTTAGGCGTTGGATGTGTTATTATTTGCCCTATCAAATCTTTTTTTCCCTCCCTTCCTAGACCACCCTTTATCAAGTTTTTTAAAAAATATGTCTTAATATGTAAAAATCTT